TTGACCAACTCTACATCGCTCCTCTCTCTCAGACATCGGTACTGATCTTCATCTACCAGGTACAAAGTCTGACCTGCTGCATTGCCCTGAGCAGCCTGACCAAGCAGGGCCACCATTAGCATATTGCTGTAAAGTCTTCGACGGAGCTGTCATCGTCCTCTGTCTGTCTGTTATCGGCATCAGTACTTGATGGGTACGCCAACGAAGTCTTCATTCCATACCTCGAGAAGCAACTGCAGACTACCAAGAGGTTATATCTTGTGGGGGATCCTCAAATTCCAGACAGCTAGAAAGTCAGAGTCTATCTGTAAAAAGAGAGGAACTGGCAGTGTCTTGATGTTGTAGTCATCCGTGTCGGCAAATTCTATTATCTTCCTCAAGACTCAACCATTAACTGACATCTTGGTGGCATAAGGTATGGGAAAGAAATACATATACTTCCACATCAATGCCATCTGTGGGAGTTTGGGAGAGCCAAAGTCACAGGCACTTCTGTGTTATACCCATATTTGGGTTGCGACAAGACATCATCATTTCATGGCACGGGAAAGAAGTCAGTCTAGCAGGCTTGGAAAGTGTACGATGATACCACAGAGACATTTGCTTATCTAACCAAGCATCCCTTTTAGAAGATGACCGTTGACTCTGAGCCTTTCCAGGTTCTTGAAAGGCTGACCATTGTCTTGTAAGACAAAGTCGAGTCCATCAGGCTCTATCAATGAGACAAGAAGAAGCCTCCAGCACGACGCCCCGCCCCAAATCATATTGTTGGGGGCTCCAACCCTAATATCTTTCAGTAAGTCCTTACAAGCCCTGTACCAAATTTGGCATGTGTACACACCTAATCAATGTTATTCTAAATGAATTTCTTTTCAGTAGTATTGAGTATTCAGGTGAACAAAAAAATCAATGTGATTATACGCTGTATATGATGTGGGTGCTCTGGAACAACGCCCCTGCCGCCTTCACTCTTAAGTGATTATTTTTTTAGGGGCTCCTTCCTTAATATTGTTCACTAGGTCCTATCCTAAAAGAGCCCTTAACCAAAAACAGACGGTCGTATAACCACAAACCAATGTGATCTTACATTATATATAACATCGGGGCTCTGGCATGACGCCCCGCCCCCATTCACATATATATATGAATATAAGCCGGGGGCTCCTACCCTCACATCATTCAGAAGTTCATAAGGAAACCCCGTACAAAAAAAATGCATTTTAACAACAACAAATCAATGTTATTTGACTTTATATCTTATTTGGGGGCTCTGGGACGACGCCCCACCCCCCCAATCGCACCTTTATAAATATTTTGTTTGGGGCTCCTACCATGACATCTTTTAGAATGACCCAAGGAAGCCCTGTACCAAAAGATTGCGTTTGCACAACAACAAATCAATGTTATTTTACCTTATTTCTTAATTCGGGGGCTCTTGGACGACTCCCCCGTCCACCAAACCCTTATATTAATTTGTTGCAGGGGGCTTCTATCCTAAAATTGTTTAGTAAGTTCTAAGGAAGCCCTGTATCAAAATTTGCATTTGTACAACAACAAATTAATGTAATTTCACCCTATTTCTTATTTGGGGGCTCCGGGACGACGCCCCCACCCACCACACCCCTATTTGAAATTTTTGCCGGGGGCTCCTACCCTAATATCGTTCAGTAGGTCCTAAGGAAGCCTTGTACCAAAAATGGCGCTTGTATCCGGCCGGTAACGATAATTTCACTTAGCCACCTGACTAAGAGAAGGAGAGAGATAGAATAAAGGAGAGTCGGGGAGCAGATGAAAATACTGTGAAAAGAGAGTTGGAGGGAATAAAAGAGAGAGACAGAGAGACAAAGAGAGAGAGCAAGAGAGAGGAGGTGGGGGGGGGGCAAGAAAGCAAAAGCAAAACAGTGAATGGGTATCGGACAAACATATTACCGGACAAAATTATCTGAATGATGGCGCACTTTCAAACTATCTTTCATAGAAATTCGATGGCCAGAGAGACATTCTCATATTTAAATTAATGAATAAATGTGTTCGTGTCTGTAGCGCAACATGATGGCGCTCTTTATAATCATGGAACCCTTGCGATTGACACATAAAAGCCTCATATACACTATTGGTCATAATGGTGGAATATTTATTTTTACCCCAGTTTAGGAAAGGATTTTTAAAAATTATTTATTTCTAATAGATCTAGAAAATGGCATACATTCTCAGATTTAATTGAATATTAATTTGAGAGTGTTCGTTTTTGTATGACTGCTAAATCATATGTGTGCTACTATGCTAATCAGCTAGACAACCTACGTCCTTAAATCATAATTGACAGTAATGAGGATTAATGCCTCACAAAAGGGCACTAATATAGCTGATCGACACGATTTTTATCCTAGGTCCTCACAGTAACGAGGCCATTGCTTAGCCCCTGAATCATAACTGTACGCAGTGTTTGCTAGGGTACGCGGCCGCCCCCACAAATCCCCCAAAACGAAGAAAAAGCAATAAATTGTCAAAAATTCATTGCATTTTCCCCCGGCCCCCAACAGGAAAAATTCCTCTGTGTGGCCATGCCTTGAACCATAATGCATGGCCATACAGAGGAATTTTTCCTGTTGGGGGGGGGGGGGAGGGGTGGGTCTCGTTTTTCCTAAGGTTCATAAGTACGAAATGCAAACTTTCATTCCCATATTAGGGGGAGCGGGGCATCATTTCACAAATAAAATATGATTGAATTCATCATTACGAATATTTTGCTGAGGGTTCGTTGATTATTGCGAAGGTTCAAAATTAAGAAAGGAAAACAAGACGACATAGGGTTGATTATTTATCCGAAGGTTGGTAATTCCTAACATAAAATATGTTTTGTAGTTCCCGACAGGGGCGGATCCAGCCGGCGGGGTGCCAAACAGGGGGTTCAATTCGTGAGAAACTGTTGAGCGACGAGACAGCCAACCGGCGAATAAGCTACGCAACCTCGAAAAATAAAATTTGTGGCTGTATTACAATTTTTTATATAGTAAAAATGCAACGTCTTCCATTTCGGGGGATAGGCGGTAGTGTATGTGTAGGTATAAGCATGGACCTACTACGTCCATGGTATCAGTCAGCTTTCAATTTTAACCAGTCCTATGCAATAGACTCAACACAAAAAGTGACCCACATATTTTTAAATTTTCATCGATATAAATTTATTTATCTATTTCATTTCAATAACAATAACAAAGAATACAAGAAAACGAAGTACAATAATAAATAAAATAGCAACAACAACAACAAAAACCGCTCAACTAATGCATGAGGATCATCAAAACTGTAGAAGGCTCTCATCGTTACCTAATGGTATAATCAAATTATATTTAAACGTCTTTGGGTATAATACATGAATATCCATGATTACTTTAGATATACATATCTTATGTAATAGATATCAAGAAGACGTAAAAGACAAATCATGAGATCATAAACATAAAACAAGTATATGCTGTGCACGTCGCCCGCCCGCTTTCTCTTTCTCTCTCTTCCAACCCAGGTACGTAGATAAAGAAAGGTCAGACGGGATTATGCAATGTTCCGCTCCTCCCATCGCTTCCACACCCTACCCACTCTCTCTCTCTCTCTCTCTCTCTCTCTCTCTCTCTCTCTCCCCCCTCTCTCTCTCTCTCTCTCTCTCTCTGTGCACCTCTCTGCTTAATACTCATTTGTGTGATTACATTTTAGCCTATGATAATCGAAGTATACCCCCATATATAGTTGCGAGGTCAGACGGGATCAGACGGATCATTCAATGTTTCGCCCCTCCTATCGCTACCACCCCTCCCCCTCTCTCTGCACCCGTCTCCCTCTCGCTAATTCTGTCTCGATAATTTATTATCTACCCATCTTTTTTGTAATACTCTTTTGTGTTAATACGTGTAGCCTATCTTATCAAGAAGATTCCGTATCGTCGCGAGGCAGTTAGAGCAAACAAGGTCACGCAGGATAATTCCTTGTTTCGCCCCTCCCCTCGCGTCTTGAAAAACTCGATGTCCCATCAATAAATCGATATCACTCCTATCGGTCGACAATAATACACAAGCTGGAGAGGCTTAGGGTGATAGATAGAAAGCACTTGCATTCTTAAGAAGCTTACATCTCCCTATTTCACTCGGGGTATAATCAGGAGTCTATGGATGATTGGGGGGGGGGGCAGTGGGAAGGGGTGCAACCCCCTCCCTCGTGCTCTGCAAAATTGGTCAAAAGTGTCACATTAGTTCTTCCACTCTAGGTCAGGATAGAGTGGAAGAACTTCTTAGAAACTTATCAATCTCCTCCATTTAGGGAATAGTCAGAAAATCTTAATGATAGGAGAAGGGAAGGAGGGGGTTCATCCTACCATTATTTATCACTTCCTTTTTTTTAACATACTTTATTCATTACCAAGTAGTTTGTTTTTTCGTAATAATTACGATACCACATTGGGCTATGGAATGGCCAAAAATAGAAAGAAAAAAGGGGTCATTTCTCGATACGTAGGCAGATAAAATCTGTCTGCCTAGTACGTTGTCCCCCCCCCCCCCCGGATACATTTCTGTAATATTGTTATACCATGCATAGTGCCCCATTCCCCCCACCCCCCCCCCCCCTCTCTCTTCGCTAAGCCGAGGTAATCACCCACCCCCTTTCTTTACCCCTTGCCATCGCTCTTTCAGGAGCACAAAAGGGTGTTCCAGATGTCTCGCTATAGCGGTCACAGTATAATACAGTTCTTATTATATACGCAGTGCAAACAAACATCATTGTCCCCCTACTATGCATAATAGATGCCCCAAGTCGCATTAATAGAAATTGTTCGGGTAATTTTTTATAATGTAGAACACAACACGCGGTGTGTAGAGGTGAGTGAATCCATTGAAGATTAATGAAGGCCGTAACTATTATACATAATGCATCGGTTTTGCTACCCACAACGCTCCTGGAAGATAGCGGCTAAAACTTTTTTTTGAGAAGGGATTTTGATGGTAATAAGACAGCGGTGTATATACCGTTACTAAGCTAACTGTTCGCCATATATTATTCTTGAAGAACACGGATATATCATCAGCAGTTACATTATAGTGTAGCAGTTGACCGCAGAAGTCACTCTAACTTTAGGATGAACGTTGATTTTTAATATTGGAAACTGCTTCAACGTAATAGTCTGCCGTCTTCTTATCTACTGTAAGTATAAATACATGTTTTGTGGCAGGACAGGTTATGTATTCGGACAAAAAGTTATGTATCCGGACAAATCATTTATTTATGTATCCATTCGATACATGTATCCGTAATATAATCCGCAGTTAGGCTATCTGGCCGCAAATGATTTCTCATCAATAAACCGTCTTATCAACAAAAAAGCTCGAACAGGAACTTGATCAAGATTGCATCCAATATTCCTAATATTTCAAGGTGAGATAGCAATATCATGAATCTAAAAGAATATTTATGGTATAGTAAGTGCTTTTTGATGCATATATTTTGTATTATATCTAACGGTAAGAGAGACGGTGTTAATTTTGTGAAGTCACTAGACACTCCCATTCTCCAGGCAACTTTAAGTTGTGTTCTCATACTGAACGTTGCCATGGTTACAGGTGTGGTGCCGGTGTAATTTATATACGGTGCACATCTTTTTTGACTCATGCAACTAAATAACAAAAATAACAACAACATTTTCACTCTGTCGAATCAGACCAGTTTACTAACATAATTTAAATTGTATGCATATTTGTGAAAACAAAGATTGTTCTTGACAACCTGAAAGCTTGCCCGACATAGCAACAAGTAATATATGCAGACTGGATTCCAAGTATTGTAGCTCATTCTTTAATAACAGGTAAATTAATGGAATAACTCGTCACTATAGGTCCCCAGGAAAGAAACATCCATAAATTTGAACATGTTAGTAAACCTTTATTAAGGCAGGACTGAGGAATTGGCGTGATTCGATATATCATAATTTTCTTTTCCGGCAGAAACTATTACTTTGGAACAACAGAAGTTACAACAACGGAGTACCAATATGATTGGACACTAAACTACAGATGGTTATGAAACACTTCCAAGAACTTTTTTCTGAGGTAAGTTTGCTACACATTCTCATATATCTTATCTATAGCTTCATAGTTGCGTCGATCTGCCTATACCCCTTCAATATAAAATGTTCTCTGAGTTTGTCTTGTTTTGTAAAAGTACTGTCATTAAGATTTCATGATGTACTGGATACATCGACAGACTGTGGGTTTGTGGTTTAAAGGGAAAGTTCACTCTGATAATAAGTTGGTTTAAATAGAAGCAGAAAATGACAGAAACATGTCAGTGAAAGTTAAAGCGTAAACCGATTAAAAATAAGAAAGTTTTGAATTTCTGAATATTTTCCCCCTTTAATTAGCCCTCCACAGGCTATTTATTAATAATCTTCACACAAGCAAACAATTATGTGCATGTTGAAGACAAAAAAGATCAAATAATCTTTCTATACACACAACAATTGTAGCAACTGCCATCACTTTACAGCAAAGTGTCTTTCCATTCCAGATAGACGTACAATATATTTCTCATCTTTATAATTTCCAACATATCAAAAAGCGGAACAATACTATTCAATTTACAAACAAAACATAATGTTGTTTAATTAATATAACAATGCAATTTAGAGGGTCGTTTCTCTTAGCTTCAAAGCCAAAATTTATATTTTGTAAAGCGAACAAAATTCTAATTTGAGTTCTTTCATAAATCCAGTTTGAGGTTTCATTCCAAATCTTTTTATTAATCTCACATTCATAAATTAAATGTATATCTTCTATTTCTTTTTTTTCTTCACAAAATGAACATTTTTCGTTGTTTTCAATTTCCATCCTAATTAGCTGTTTATTTAAAAACAAAAATTATATTTGTAATCTTATACTGAAAGTAGTTCAGACTTATAACTGATGTGAAAGGAAATATCGTAACGTCGTATTTTTGTATCGACACAGATGGCAAATTTTAATTCAAATATCGTTCCCACTTTGAACTTATCAGAGACAAACAATTCTTTCTCCAAAAAGAGCTTTTTAAGTGTATCTACATTCTTTTTTCATGAATAAGTGCTTTAATATGGGAAGGAATGAAAGGTTCTTCCAAATTTGTTTGACATGCTTATAACTCATTATATCTGCACTTTATTACTTGACCAACTGAATATATAAGACAAATAATTAAGTTTCAAATGAAACTTCTTCCCACATTTCTTTAGAGACAATAAGTTTCCATTACTATTCATCAAAACGTTAATAACTCTAATACCCTTTTCATACCAGGATTTGAAAAAGAATAGACTCATTGCCAATTTGAATTGAGTTTTTCATCCATAGAGATTCAGAAAACAATTCAATTTCACTAACAATGACATGCCCTCAAAAACTTCTTTCCATAATGGATTGCCAGTTTCATACATGAGATAATTTCTGAATATCCGATCAACCAAACACAAATTGGCAACTCTGTGATGTATCTTGGGAGGTCCTCTCCTATTTTCCCTGTACTAAAAATAATTCAACTTTCATTTTCATAGTTATTGATGACGAAACAGATTTTTTTTCTTGGATACCTTATAAAGGAGCACGTAGTCAACAGAGTGCTTTGGAAAATTAAGTTATGACTTCGTCATGTTTTCATATTCCTCTCGTTTATAAAAGCCTTGTATGGACCAAATTGAGATTGTCATTGCGGTATTTTTCTGGGACACCCTGTAGGGCAACATAGTTCATGATCCTTTTCGATAAATTAAGTTATGACTGCGTCATGTTTTCATGTTCCCTTCGTTTATTCAAGAGGGCACACGAATGATCGACGAGGTTTGACCCCTCATCTTCGTGGGGGTGGCATCTTTTCTCAGCGGCACAAAAGCATGCACACATCTCACTTTTTCTTCGTCATGTAGACTAAACTTCGAGCTGCTTATAGCAAATCCATTTACAAACGCATCGGAAATATAACATGGCGATGATCTATGATAGTGCGCTTTGTTAGCTCATTGGTCAAAAATGTTTCATTCTTGATAAATGTTGATACTGTGTCATCTCTTTTGCCTTTATTTTGTGGAACGATTGTGGAATAGAAAGAGATCCCACAAAAAGGTTGTTTTCGTTCTGTATATGGCTAGGGATAAGCGGATGCGTAGATGCATATGGAGAAATATGGAGAAATTGAATATATCGGAATTCTGCGAAGAATATTGAGAACTAATGTACTTGACTGAGGTCTATGGCACTATTTAGATTTAGATTTACTTTGAGAACAATAAAAAAATCATACTAGCTTTTTTATACTCTGGATAACAACACCAAATCAACTATGAATTCAAGTAAGTATATGTTTTGCTGTGCAATGAATAATGATGTTTACATATCTAACTCCTCCTCCTCCTAGTATATAATGTTACTCTTACTACCATTCCAGCTAATACTACTTCTACTACTACTGCAACTACTACTACTACTAGTACTAGTACGACTATACTGATTCTTCTTTGTCTTCTTCTTCTACTACTAAGCACTAGTATAACAATACAATGTGTTTCAAGCTTAGTTCGATGGCATTTAATGTCAGACGACAAAAGATAGTACAGTCAGATTGGTATAGTAACGAGAGAGTGGCTTTTAATACTGATGGGGCCATCTGGCGCCCTCTTTTGATTGAAGCTTTACATGTGTTCTTCTAAAATCTCAGAAACAATATTGACACATCCTCCCCTCTTTGAGCTTTGTGCCGGAGAATGTCTCAATTTTGGAGGTCAATATCAACCTGGTACCAAAACAGATAAAAGATTAAAGAATATCAAAAGATTGGTTTATGAGATCTTTTACAATCATATAACTGCACAAAATAATATTTCAAAGCAAAAAATATCAGAGTCCTTTTGAGTTCTTGTGAGTCTTCATAGTGTCAGAAGATTTGGGATTGTGTTTAGAGTCCAGTTTCTTCAAATTTTAAAAAAAGTTCAAATGTCCAGAGTTAGATGAAGTGATGTCATTCACGTATCTCACGAATGTTCTCTTTTTAAGTGTTCAAAATGTTACGAAATCTTTCATCTTATGCGGTTCTCGACGTTGTCTGTTTGAACGTCTCAGCGAGCTTGTGTTGTTCTCGTCAAGCGTCTCAGATGTACCATCACCGCGAAACTTCACAGGACTTGTAGTGGTAGATTGACGCTGCTCTGTAGTCCTCACCTTGGGTTGGTTGTTGTCCTGGCATTCCCAGTTAAACATGTTGGGAATAGGATCAAGTGTATCTGACGTGGATGAGGTCGCTCTGAGATGTTCTCTGTTTCTACGAAGTGTTTGACCATCACAGCGAACTTCATATGATCGATCGTCTATTTTCTTCAGGATCACCGCTTTCTTCCATTTCTTTCTATGGTTGAATGGTTTCACACGTACAGTTGCTCCAAGTGGAAGATCCTTGAGCTTCCTTGTATTTCTGTTGAAATACTTCTCCTGTCGTCTCTGGTTTGAATTGAGTTTCTCGACATCAGGTCCTGAGTCACGATCAGGCATCAACAACTGAGTTGTGGTGGGTAGGAGTGTACGTGTTCGTCTACCCATGAACCTTTGCGCAGGACTGGTCTGGGTACCTTGAGTTGGTGTATTACGAACGTTGAGTAAGGCTAGATCAACGTTATCTCCAGTGTCCTTGCATTTGGTAAGCAGTCTTTTGGCAGTCTTAACAGCAGACTCTGCCTTGCCATTTGCCTTGCTGTTGTGAGGTGAGATGGTGTTATGCTTGATTCCCATCTCTTTGGCAAACTCAGCAAAGTCCCTTGAAGAGAAAGGAGGTCCATTGTCTGAGACAATGATCTCTGGCACTCCATAGCGTCCGATGTGACGTTTCAGTCGCTTGATTACTGCGGGGGCAGTCGTCCTCTGTAGCTTTTCTATCTCAAAGAAATTGGAGTAGTAACAGACCATAATGAGATAGTTCTCGTTATCATGATGGAAGAGATCGATTCCAATTCTTGACCATGGCCTGTCAGAGATAGGATGAGACATCAAAGGTTGGGCAGGTTGAGAAACTGAGTTTTCTTGACAGGTCTCGCATGTCTGGATCCACTCCTTTATCTCCTTGTTCATACCTGGCCAATAAACATATTCACGGGCTCTTCTCAAAGTTCCTTCGACTCCATTGTGGCCAATGTGTAACTCCTCCTTGATCTGTCGCCTCATCTGCTTAGGGATTACCAGCCGTTCTCCCTTGAAAATCAGATCATCAGTCACCGAAAGTTCATCTCTGAAACTGAAGTATGGAGTCAGTGACAAAGGAAGCTTTGTCTTGTTGTCTGGCCACCCATCAAGTATGGTGTCTTTGAGCTGGGAGAGAGTTGGATCTTGGGTAGTCTGTCTCTTTATCTCAGCTATCTTGTCATCAGGGAGAGACAAGAGTTTGACAGCATTCACCACCTCTAGATCATGCTGTCCGCTCTCATACGGAAGAGAAGCACGGCTTAGTGCATCAGCCAAGATGTTGTCCTTCCCTTTAAGGTATTTCACTTCAACATCATACGCCATGGCGCGTAGTAACATTCCTTGTAGGCGTTTGGGAGCTTTGTCCAGGGCCTTCTTCACAATGCACTCCAGTGGTTTGTGGTCACTATATACTGTTGTCTTACGACCAAAAGTGAACTGATTCCACTTTTCCAGTGCAAAGACTATTGCTAGCATCTCCTTCTCAATGACAGAGTATCTGGTCTCAGGATCACTCAGCATCCTACTGGCATATGCTATTGGTTGACCATCCTGTAGCATCACAGCACCTAACCCTGTAGCACTGGCATCAGTTTGGATTTGAAGTGGCTTGCTTTGGTTGTAGAACGCCAACACAGGAGCTTGTATCAGCATCTCTTTCAGCAACCTAAAGGCTTTGTCATGGTTGGAGTCCCAAGTCCACGCAGAGTTGTTGTGGGTTAAGTCATTGAGAGGCTTCATGACATCAGATAGTTTGGGCAGATACCTGGCCAAATAATTGACCATGCCACGTAAGCGATGGATGTCATCCTTGCAGGTTGGAGAACTCATGTTCAGGATTGCATCGATCTTGGATGGATCAGCTTTCAGTCCAGAGTTGGATACTATGTGGCCTAGGAACGAGATTTCCTTCAGTCGAAATTGGCATTTCTCCTTGTTCAACACTATGCCAACAGTTTGACATCTCTGTAGAAGACTCTGTAGTCGGGTATCATGCTCAGCATCACTGTTACCCCAGATTATGATGTCATCTGCCACACATCGTACCCCTTGAAGACCATCCAGTGCTAGATGAAGTCTCTTTTGGAAGATTTCGCTGCTAACCTTCAAGCCAAATGGTAGACGTTTCCATTTATACCTTCCCCATGGTGTTGCAAAGGTAGTTAGCAGACTTGAGTCGTCGTCAAGAACACAGTGCAAATATCCATCTTTGAGATCACAGATGGAGAAGACCGTTGCATTGGACAGTTGAGGCAGGATATCATCGAGAACAGGCAGAGGATAATGTTCTCTTTTCAGCACGAGATTGAGTGGTCTAGGGTCTAAGCACACACGCACTTTACCAGATTTCTTCTGTACAACAGCCATCTGGCTTACCCAGTCAGTTGGAGAACTTACTTCCTCAATCAGGTCTCTTGTCTGCAGTGCATCAAGTTCATCCTTCACAATACTTCTCAAGGATTCTGGTATCACTCTAGCAGGACGAACACTAGGGGTAGCATCATCCATAACAGTCAGATGAACATCGTTCCCCGGCAGAGTACCAGTCACAGAGGATGAGAAGACCACAGGATACTCTTTGTGAAGATTCTCAGGAGCTAGGTTGCAGACATTCTCAGGAAATATGTTGTGGACTATTTCCATAGATTCGTAGTGAACAGTGATAAGCTGCATCTTCTCAGAAGCTGTTTTGCTTAGCAGTGGAGTCAGATCCTCCTTAACTATGACATAGTCAATCCTGTACTTTTTTCCAGTAGCTGGATTCCTTGTCACGACTTTGCACTTTCCCACAGCACGTAGTAGCGGAGAGTGGTTCCACATCCGGAGATGGATGCATTCATTTCTCACTACATCTTCTTCTGACAGAAACTTCTGTGGGAGAACACTCACTGTTGCTCCAGAGTCCAACTGGAACTGTACTCTTCGACCATTTAGTAGCATGTTGCAAAAAATTGGTCCATCTTCAGGACTTACTGTATTTATCTGTACAACACTGATACTTTCAGTGGAGGAGTACTCATCATCTTCGAGTTGGTGAACACTCTTGGAAGTACACACTGCAGATCCCTTGAAGTGATTGGGCTTATGGCACACATTGCACTTTTGACCCCATGCAGGGCAGCATTCCTTCTTCATTTCGTGTGATTTATTACAGAACTTGCACTTTTTGAGCTCTTTCGGCTTCTGCTTTACAAACTTCTGCTTTCCACTTCCAGTTTTAGCATGTTTAGGGAAAGGTTTTCGATTCACCCTGTTAATTTCCTCACTTTTCAACGCCTTCATGTGAGTAGACGTCGCTTCAACTGCTTTACAAACATCAATGGCAGTAGAGAGGTCAAGATCAGATTTGGAGATGAGTAGTTCTCGCATACGATCATCACGTACTCCCAGTAGAACACGATCAACGAGCAATTTGTCATTCATGCAGTCACAGAATCCACACGTCTTACTCATTGTACGCAGAGCTGTCACATACTGTTCAATAGATTCACCATCTTCCTGACTGCGTTGATTGAACTTGAATCTTTCAAAGAATTCTCTGCTCTCACCAAGGAAATGTTTATCAAACTTATCCAGTATCACAGAGCATTTCACACTTTCAGCGGCATTAGCAAACTTCATGCCGTTGTAGACACGCAGACAATCTTGTCCCACACTGTGCAGTAGTAGTGCAGTTTGGTACCGATCTGGTTGTTTGGAGAGGTTTGTGAGAATAGTGTAGTTGTCCCATTGCTGTCTCCAGATTTTCCACCCTTCAACTAGACCTACATTTCCCGCAGCCGCATGGAAATGACCAGGGGGTTGGACAGAAGGCTTTACGAAATGGGCCCCTTGCAAATCACCCTCAGTACCCTCAGGAGACACAGTGTCAGGCATGTTGTACACCACAGCAAACAATTCAGACAGAGATCTCGAATTTCAATGCTTTGCATGCAAGTAACACTACACAAACTTACATGAGTGGGGCTGACTATACGTTGAGTTGACTCTCAAAGTAAACAGGTGAATTCCAGTTCATAACACGGTATGCAGACGCATAATAGAGTTATAGGTGTATTACAAACACTTTCCTACATGGATTTACAAACTTTCACCGCTGTCATCATGTTTCAAGCTTAGTTCGATGGCATTTAATGTCAGACGACAAAAGATAGTACAGTCAGATTGGTATAGTAACGAGAGAGTGGCTTTTAATACTGATGGGGCCATCTGGCGCCCTCTTTTGATTGAAGCTTTACATGTGTTCTTCTAAAATCTCAGAAACAATATTGACACACAATGTACCACTATACCGCTACCATCAACCAGCACTACTACCACTACTGTACAACTACCACCACCAAAACAACTACTACTATTACTACTGCTGCTGCTGCTACTACTACTACTGATACTACTATACTACTACTACTACTACTACTACTACTACTACTACTTCTTCTACTACTACTACTACTACTATACTACTACTACTACTACTACTACTACTTCTACTACTGTTGCTGCTGCTGCTGCTGCTACTACTACTACTATTACTACTACTACTACTACTACTACTACTACTACTATTACTACTACTACTACTACTACTACTACTACTACTACTACTACTACTACTACTACTACTACTACTACTACTAATACCACTACTACGACCACTACTACTAGGTCTACTACCACCACCAGCACCACCACTACTACGACTACTAATACTAATACTACTACTACTACTACTACTACTACTACTACTACTACTACTACTACCAATACTACGACTACGACTACTACTACTACTACTACTTCTAATACTACTACTACTACTACTACTACTACTACTACTACTGCTGCTACTACTACTACTACTACTACTACTACTTCTTCTTCTTATTCTAGAACGTCTACTACTAGAACTACCCACACCAGTACCACCATTACTAATACTACTATTAACACTTCTATTACTAGCACCACTTCTACTACTGTACTACATCTACGCCTACTGATGTTAATACTAGAGACAAGGGGAAGGGGTGGATAGCCTAAGTTTTGTTCCAAAATTAGGAAGAGGGTTCTGTTGTCTTCTAAAGCTCATTACTTGTAGGGTTTTTTTCTTCACAATACACAGGAGTGACTCGTCGATCCGTCAACCATGTTGCAACCGGGCGTCCATTTTGCCGAAGTCGTCGAGGGACTCTTGAACGGCGGTGACATCGGTGAAATTGTTATCGATGACATGGAACCTCCGGAGGACACAGAAGGCGATAACTCCAAGAACGATACTTCGAAAAACGAAAAGAAACCGAGACAGAACAAATCGTATGTGACGGCAAAGACTCTGAATGATCGTGAAGAAAGGAGATTAATGATCAAACTGAATCACTATCAGAAAGAACTCAAGCAATCCACGTATCAGATTGATGTGGCGCAGAGAGCGATCAGGAGGGAGTTACAGAGTATAAACCCAGATCTTATGGTTGATCCCAATAAAGGATTCTTTGTACCGAAAGGTGAGTTAAAGAATCACGTAATAATACCATTTTTTTTTTTATAACAGACTGTTCTCTCCTACCACTACAATAGCAATGGTCGTATCATTGCGACTAATATACCAGTGTACTTTTAACAGCATCTGCATCCTCGTATACATTAAACAGTATCCTCATCCTCGTCACGATCATTATTTTCATCATAACCATCACACACACCATCACCATTAGCACCACCACTCCACCACCATCAGCACCACCACACCACCGCCACCACCACCATCACCACCACACCACCACCAGTCAGTGGCGGATCCAGGGGGGGGGGGGGAGGGAGGAACATGTAAAAACACGTGATTTTTAGCATTTTTTTTTTGGGGGGGTGCACATTTTCAAATTTTTCGAGGGCCAAACAAAAAAAAAGTGCTCACTAATTTAGAAGAAGAAGAAGATGGAGGAGGAGGAGGAGGAGGAGGAGGAGGAGGAGGAGGAGGATAACAAGAAGTAAAGAGAACAAGAAGAAGAGGCAGGAGAAGAAGACTGCGAAGAAACAGAAGAAGAGGAGGAAGAATAAGAATAAGAATATGAAAGATATCAAGAATAATCGGCAGGAGAAGAACAATAATGAAAATATATATGAATAGATAAATTATACATATTATTCTGTTTATACTCGTAGGTATGACACAAGAGCAGGCCGAAGTCATCAAATCAAAACGACTCGAGTTACAGGCTGCATCGAACACTCGCAGTATCTCCCTTGATGAATTCACAGAGATGAGAAAGAAGAAGACTGAACAGGGCAGACAAGCTCTCCAAGCTATCCAACACGATGTAAGCAAGTCTTTTTTTTCTTTTCCTTTTTAAAATTAAATGCTGTATGACGTAAAGCGTGCGTCCAAACATTAATATAAAACCCATGTACAGTGTTGGTAGTGAAAAGGAAACGTGGAAGAAACATGTAAGACACATGTTGTCTGATGTTGTTCTCCTTGTTTTAAAGACATGTTAAAGGGGCCAATGTTTAATGGCCAAATCGCTAGTTACCTCATCACTTTGGCGAAAAAAAGAAGAAAAAAAAAATCAAAATCAAAATCAAAATCAAAAGGGTCAATTTTCCAGTTTTTATCAAACAAAGCGGTGAAAGTTCATCAAAATCGGATGAAACCGTAATATGTATCACGTAGGCTGTATACAAGTTGGTGAGTTGACGATATCACCCCATGTATTTTATTAATGAAATATTAAGTTTTCTCTTTTTTTGACAAGCCTGTATACAGTTTTTTCTTTATATTACAAGAAGTTACAATAATCGTATGGTGATTTTGAACATAGTCCATGAGGAATCAAGCCATTTTTTTTTCATTCCCAGAGAAACAAAAATGATATATTTTTGATAAATTTATGTACAAATAGAGAAGATAGAGAAAAGTGGGTTCAACTAGCGAATTTGCATGGCAGATAATCACTGTTCCGTGAAATCTTATGAAACTTTAAAGTCCCATAACTTTCTTATTTTCCATCCGATTTTGTTAAAACTTTCACTGTCCTGTTTCTCCCCCCCCCCCCCCCCCTCTATTTGCGAAACCCATCTTGCACGTGGGACGGACTTGCCCTTTAAGTCATCTACTGTCTAACCTAGCGACTTTAATCATGATGAATTCCATATAGATAAAAATAAAAAAAACTTGGCGATTGATTATTGCAAATCTGTGTACTAGGTTTATTCGCCCCATGCCGATCTCGAATTCGACTCAAATACATGAATATTCAAAGCAGTTTATTTGCATATTCACATTTCTTATTTAATAGGCCTATTGGTATTCATACATGTCAACGTTTTTGTTAAATCATGTTATCCTGTCACGCAGAGCCAGCCTGAAGAGGAGGGAGACAAACCAGTGATAAAAGGGCGTGACCGATGGAAGGCTCTTTCAGGTGTTCTCCATAGCAACCCGGCATCTTTCTCCCAGATGTCCAAAGTAGCTGCTAAGCAACACCAGCAGCAACAGCAGCAGCAACAACAGCAACAAGAACCACCACCTGCAACGGCACCAGAGGACAGCGCGATAAGGAAAGTGGCCAAAATGGCGAGCGTCGTTGCGGCAATGCGAGGTAATGGCAATTCCGGGCGTTGATCTTACGTTAGAAGAGACAATATATAGATAGAGATTCGAATTACTTTGTGGGATTCCCGGGGTGGGATTATTTTCCTATTTTGTGATATACTTACTCTTTTTATCATTTTTCTGTTCTGTATAGGATTTACGAGGTAACAAGTTCTAGGCAACCCAACGAAGGAACTTCGTCTCATCTTGGACTCTATGAAACGCAATGCTAGCAAGGCCAACAAACAAAACATGGAACAATCTCAAGTCTACCCCAAGGCGCAGGCGTATTACATTTACAAATCTGTGAAGAAGCCTCGCAACAAACGAGTTTATTGTTTACTAGCATCCATGCACGTGTGCCATTTCGGTTAGGCCTATATCACAAAATCCAGTGACAACATTGCCAAGTCTCATGGTAAACCACGAATGGAGTGACCCTGGATAAACCGCATCACATGGAAACACGCGGCTTCGCTATCAGCCACATTACTAGACCAAAGAAAATGAGCTGTCTCCGCCTTTCCAACGTTGATCGGGGTGCGGTTCGTTGACGAAGCCACAAAGGACTTTTCGTTTTGGAATGCATGGCAACGGATTATCGATTACTGACAGGTAATCAATCGAAGCAAGCGAGGAGGCCGTTTTGAAAACAATTAGTTTAACAAGTATTGTGATATTGTCGCCGGACAGATGGTAGAACAAAAGACTGGACAAAAGATGGCGGCAACCTCAAAAGTAGACAGTGAAGATAATTGCCGCATACACCAAAATGAACAATGTGTTGTAACGGTCACAAAGTTAACGTTAACCTTCAGGGGAATAATCACCAAAATGTATTTTGCTCCCATTGTTTTGGGTCCCGTTCCAGTATTCTATATTCAAAGTACCTGATTGAAATATGGGTTTTGTAAAGAAGGTACTAAAACACTGTCTAAAAATGTGAGTAGACAATTTGATGCGCTCGTAGGTCGGGAGTCAATGGGCGGTTAAGTAGTCCCTCTATGTTGGTATCCTTACAAATTAACATAGAATGTCGGATAAAGCATCTTGGGGATGAGCTAGCATGCTAGTTGTGGGAGGGGGCTCCATTTGTAACTTAATATACTTCACTGGATATGTGAAGGTCGTTGGTTCGAACCTCGTTACAATTAGTACAAGTGTCTTTTGGCAAGATATTATTATTATTATTATTAGTCTACAATAATATTGCCCCTCTCCAGTCTCCACCCAGGTGTTAAGTGGTTACCAGTGGGAAAGAACTCCTTAAATGATGTGAGCACCTTGCATGGTGGATATGTGTGCTATGAAAACATAGATTTTATCATCGTCGTTTTTCTTATTGTTATCTCTTTTTTTATTATCAAAATTATCATAATTATTATAATCATTATGTAATGTGCGCTAACACTTCTCACATAAAACGTTGGGTGTGGCTAACATAAGTCTAGCACTCTCGGACGACGTCATTTTATCTTTATTCGAGCTATCGATGTCTTAGCACCGTAGGTGGTTTCTAGCGCTTTCAAGTTCATGTTAGATAGCCCATGACCTCAAATACTAAAGTTGATTATCTTTTCTATAATTTCAAAATGTTGAAGAAAATACCTAAAAACGTTTATTTTGATGAATGACAGCATCAACATACACAAACATCCACACAAATCTTCACACTCAACGCCCCCCCCCCCCCCCTCTTTACACACGGTTTATTATAATTTTGTCTAATTTTCTGACTGTCAAATTTCATTTGGTCTAGTTTTATACCCAGTTGGTCCACGATACAAGGGGTCTAATCAACAATTCGCCAATCATCATTTGAACTAATAACCACTTGATCTACTGTCTATTTAGTCTATACGCACTTGGTCTAATTGCCACTCCGTCCAAATTTTTTGTTTGCCATTTGGTCTAATTGTCATTTTGTGGAGAAAAAGAAAAGAAAACCAGTGTAAGAAACCTAATCTTAAGTGACTCGGTAACATTGCCTCAGATTATGAAACAAAATCCTGGATTTAGCTCATGCTGCAATCATAATTATAAACTATTAGGTCAGTCAGGAATCCCATGACTTTTACAAGCCGATCGCCTGTTTGATTATCAAGATATATACATGATTGGAAATCGAATTTCATTTTTCGTTTTCCTAATTTTTTTTTATAACACTACAGTCTAGTGGGGAAAATAAGTATGGTAAAACCGGTCACTCAGATTTTTTACTTTTTGAGGCACTTTATGATCATTTTGAAAGGCCATGCATCTCAGATTGAACATTGTTAAACGATACCTTTAAGGCATCAGCATCTGCAATTGTGCCTTCTTTTATGTCCATGTATTTTGATGACAAGGTTGTCTATTCAGATTCATTTATGACAACACATGAATGTCTTTCATGAACTGTTTCATAAGCTAATTCTAGGACTGATCTTTTTGATAATTTCACAATAGAGTCAACATGAGCGATTCCAAAGGTGATTTGGTTATTTACTGATTAATGTCATGTGAATGTATATCAACTTCTCAAAAAAAGTGTTGTAATTCAAGTTCGACCGTTGATATACCTCTAATTACTACATGTATATCATCATACTTGAATTTGGTATCATTGGAAAGCCTACTTATTTATCTTTACAATGACGTCCGTTTGCAATGATGGTGCAATCATGGAATGTGCAATGTAACTGATTATGGTGCTACGTTAAAAATGAATTATTGCAAAATGCATTATTGTCAATGTTCAGCACCTTGCATGATTACACAATCATTACAATTGGGGCATCATCGTAAAGGGGAATAAACAGGCTTTTTAATGAAACCAACGCCGTACTGATAATAGTATGATAATATAGGAAGAAAGAGATATCATTGCCTACACTTGAATTACAGAGCTTCATTTTGAGGAGTTTATTTCTAGAATAGCATATCAAATCCGACTTCAGCATAGAAATACATTAAAACCCGTTTTAGTGGCCACCTGTCTATAGTGGTCGTTAGTATTGCTTCTCACTAGGAGAAATGTATGTTGAAGAACTTGTCCAGAGCAGTCACTTTCTGCGTCTCCTGTAAGAGGATTTTATAGACAAGTTTGACCATAAAAATAATGTATAATTTGTTGAAGTCTCCAGAAAATCTTGTTGTTCCAAATAAAAAGCAATGAAATATTTGGTTATATACATGTGTAGTTATACAGCCTGAATCGGATGACCGGGTAATAATATATATCTGTTAAGCGCTTTGAGAGGGCCGCAGTCCTGAAAAGCGCTATATACGGTAAGAACAAATTATTATTTATGTATGACTCTGTATCTGCTCCAATAACTATAATCTGCATGGGGCCATTATTTCTTACAACTTTTGAGCACTTGTGAACACAAAGTAGGCAATAGAAAAATATATTGTATTTTTGAATGCATATTCTTTATTAGTATACTCTACTCTGTTGTACAGCTTAGTTTTCTTTTTCAAAAGATTTTATAGATTTATATGAAATAAAACAGTACATTATTACACTGACCTAGGCTTGCATTGTGTTGTAATATATCAAATGGACCTTATGAAGTATGGGATATTCATACACATGCAGAAAATACCAAGTACCGTAAATGAATCTTAAGACACAGGTATATATAGTCTATCAATTTTTTCTGAAAAGAAAGAGAACTCAGCCAAAAGTATTAATGTTATACTGCCACATGCAGAAATATTCTATTCTTAATACTTTTCTTACAAAACCCTGAGTGATGTAAAAAAAGCTGTTAAGGGGCAGCTAGTATGTTAGATAGAGAGAGAGAGAGAGAGAGAAGGGGGGGGGGGGGGGGGGGGACTGAAAAATGGAATGAAAAACAATACATTTTTAGCAAAATGGATAATTATATATATATTTTTTTTAACATTCTGCTCTCTTTTGACAGAAAAGGGAAAATATGTTGTAGCTGTATGTATAGCCGAACCTGCTTTAGGGACCACCTGTCTATAAGGACATTTTCTGTTTCCTGTTGAATCATCATGTACTAAAGAAACCTGTACATAAAGGCCACTTGCTTCCAAAGAGAGGTCGTTATATACAGGTTTCACTGTAACTCCTACTCTTTCGCAAATCAAAAGTATCTGAAAATAGTTTTAAAAACTATGTTTCATATTCGTTAATAACATTTAAAGGTAAAGACCAGTATTGGCAACGCCCCAATTTCAAAAAATGAAATGGAAGCTCTCATTACCAATCATGTGAAAGAATATGTTTTGACTAATACATGATGATAAAAATTTGCCGGGAAACCGCCTACTAATTCATATATTTGGTAAATTTATTTCTCTCATGGTCTGGTGAGAGAGATAGGGTAGTCCCATATACATCTTTCTGTGTATAGTGCTTGTAACTTTACGAAGAATGAGCCAAATTTCTTATCATTTTGATGATTCCAGAACCTTGCAGATGCTAGATGCTAGATGATCGACCTTTTCTGATCCATTCCACAACGTTTCTTTCACAATGCAATCGCATGACCATTACTGGTCTTTACCTTTAATATAAATTGATATTATGGTGAATTAATGAAAATGAAACTAATTATACATCAAATGTATCATTGGATTGGTATCAGCTGTGATAGCGGCATCAGTATGACTACAACCTATAACACAATCACAAACATGATCTTAAATTAAACATCAAAATCAGGTACACCTGGTATACTACATCTTCAACACTATTGAGAGCTTGTGGGATAAATATCTTGGACCTGCCCAGATATGAAATACAGTTACCTGGGCACAACCTGAAGTCGCAGAAGTCAAATTATCCTAAAGCCAATGTTTTTTTTTAGACCAAACTCCGCAAAACATGTTTTTTACGCTTCGTAAGTCGTGTTTTGCATAAGTCAAATTATTTTGCGGTCCCAAGAGATTCCATGTATGCAGAGATAACTGTGTACTCATGCAGATTGGCATATGCTTCCCGCTGTCAAAAGAGGGCGATATTCCCGCCTGTCATGTGCTGCTTGTGTAGGTCATTGTTAGTTTCTGGTAGATGGGGTTATAATAGTAAAAATAGCATCCTGGAGGGTTGGTATAGCGATGATAGATGGGTTGGTAGCGACTTAGACTTTGTTGAATGCAGCAATGTCTACACTCTGGACCTGAAGAAGAAAAAAAGAAGCAAAAGGTTACAACAGACACCTGTAAAATTTATTTATATATATATATATATATATATATCACTGTTTAAAGAGATCGTTTAACAATGTTAAATCTGAGATGCACAGCCCTACGTGTTATCAGTGTCTAAGATTTGGTGCCTTATTGAAGCCTAAAAAAATTGTGCTTCAAAATGATCAAGAAGGGCCTCAAAAAAGTAAAAACCTTTGAGTGACCGGTTTTTACCATACTCGTTTTCCCCAATAGAATGTAGTGTTATAAAAACCGTTAGGAAAACGAAAAATGAAATTTCGATTTCCAATCATAAATATCTTGATAATCAGACAGGCAATCGGCTAATAAAAGTCATGGGATTCCTGACTGATCTAAAGGTTTATAATTATGATTGCAGCATCAGCTAAATCCAGGATTTTGTTTCAGAATCTGAGCCAATGTTTCAGAGTCACTTTAAAATGAGGTTTCTTTTACTCGGGTTTTCATGGTGAATAGCGGTCTGGTATAACCGGTAGTCTATGACCCAATTATTCTATTCCCGTATTGTTTACACCCAGCCCGTCTACTATCCACATGGTCTTTATAGTCATTTCATCTTCTCATCATTTGGTCTAATTACAATTTAGGCCAATGGCCAATTTGTCTAATCTCCAATAAGTCTATTGTTCATTTATTCTAATAACCAGTAAGTCTGATGACCAAATGATAAAATCAACACTCATTTCTATGGGATTTCAACGAACTTAGACATTTACGAGAAACTGGCCTCAGACATTACTCTCCCAATGGAATTGCGTGATTAGTTGTCAACTGTATCTTGAATATTGGCAAGCCAGTGAGTGGACCTTGGTACTTACCAGATCTTCAAATGCTGTGATAGCGTCTTCTAGATCTTCTGTGCCCACCTTGTCATCCACCACGACACATGTGATTTGGAGCTTCTTAATACCATAGGCTAGAGGTACCAATTTAGCTAAAAGGGAGAGAGAGAGAGAGAGAGAGAGAGAGAAGGAAGATAAGCATATTGGTAAGCAGCACCTTCATGACCACCTCCATCATCATCATGATCATCATTTCCATCATCGTCATCATCATCCTAAATTTTCTCATTTCCATCATCCTCATTAACATCATGGTCATCATCATCATCATCATTGGGATAGCGAGGGGGGGGGGGGGGTGTTTTGGGTGTTCAAACAACCCTCGTTGGCAAAAGAGGGGTGTTTTAGGATTTTAAAGACACCCTTTATATGTGTTTTATCTATCCCCCCCCCCCCCGCCACTGGCAAAAAAAAAACTACATGGACCTTCCAGCGCGCGCAGTCGAAAATGATGCCTCCGCCATAGAGCAATTTTACAAACCAAAACAGAAGCGAGCAATTTTTGCACAAATAATGAGCCCTGTGACCTTTGACCATGTTACCCCCAAATTTAATCAGTTCATTGGCTCTGCAAGATACATACATGACCCAAGTTTGGCAGGAATCCATCAATGGGTTCTTGAGATAACATGATCAGGAGCTATTTTTGCATACATAAAGAGTCCTGTGACCTTTGACCTCGGTTCTCGTTACCCCAAAATCTACTCAATTCATTGCCTCTGCAAGATACATACATGTCCCAAGTTTGGCGGGAATCCATCAATTGGTTCTTGAGATAACGTGCTCACGAGAACGGGACGTACGGACGGACAACCCAAAAACATTATGCCTCCTGCTACTTTGTAGCGGAGGCATAAAAAGTGCTCCTTCATCATGAACACCATCGTAGCCATCATCACTGTCACCACCATTATCATCAACATCTTCATGAAGATGATGCGATCTTAAGCTTCTACTTACAAGCACCCCAAAGTAGACCGTCCATAGCCACAGTTCTCACGGCCTTCTCAATCTCGGCCATGTCCGTCTCATCGTCCCACGGTTTCACGTCGAGGATGATGTTAGACTTTGCGATGAGAGCAGGCTTCTTGGACTTCTTGGCCTGGTACGCTGCTACACGTTCTTGTGTCCGCTTCTTCTTCTCTTCACTCTCTTCCTCCTCTTCGTCATCATCGTCATCCTGCAGGGAAAATAATATAATATATCGTACTTATAACGCATCTCACATTATGTTACTATGCGCTGTAAGAAAGAGTAAGAAGGAAAGGTGGATAGAGTAACATAAGAAAAGTGAGATATGCTCAACATACTTCCTTTTGTTAAAGGAAAAGACCAGTTATGGTCATGCGATTGCATTGTGAAAGAAACGTTGTGGAATCGATCAGAAAAGGTTGATCATCTAGCATATAAGTATTGGTGTGTACTGCAAGGTTCTGGAGTCATCAAAATGATAAGAAATTTGGCTCAGTCTTCGTAAAGTTACAAGCACTGTACACAGAAAGATGTATATGGGACTATACGCACACGTGCGCGACACGTGCGTTTATCTCTCACAGACCATGTAGATAAACTAATTTACCAAATATATCAATTAGTAGGCGGTTTCCCAGCAAAATTGTTATCATCATGTATTAGTCAAAACATATTCTTTCACATGATTGGTAATAAGACCATCCATTTCATTGTTTCAAATTGGGGCGTTTCCAATACTGGTCTTTACCTTTAACATTGGAAAGTATTTTTGAAAAGAAATGTTTTAAGCCGCGCCTTAAAGTTGTCACAGTTTTTTTCAGATTTTTCGGTAATTCATTCCAAAGTTTGGCCGATACAACCTGAAAAGAGCGAGACCCGTATAATTCAGTATTTATTTGTGGGATGGTGAGGAGAGACTTTTGGGAAGATCTGAGGGTTTTGTTTGCAGCATATAGGGTAAGTAATTCCATTAAATATTAATCCTTTGAGGAACCTAAAGAGAAGGTTGAGTTCTGGGAAGAGGTGAAAAATAATTTGTGAGCGTTATTATCTTATTATGCAAGTGTGGAAGAACATCAGATAAGACATGTTCCCTGAAAATCATGGCTCTTCAAATGCCTTCATATTCTAAGGCCCCCCCCCCCCCATGATCTCGGCCGTGAAACGACCTATCGCCGCAAAAATTTGCATGCATGTCAAGTGAAGTGCATAGAATACTATGGTAATTTCAATTTTTTTGAAAAATTCACTTATTTGCATATTTATGGTAATTTATGCAAATATAGTAATAACATTAACATTTTTATCCATAAATCATATATTCTTCATATTTGAACATTAATTTTCACTACAAATATTATTTAGACCATTTGGGATAATAATACAGCCAAAAAAATTGGAAGCGCCAGGTTATTCCTTATATTATCTATTGTTTCAATAATTTCTTATGTATTTCTATGTTTTTTAAACTTATGTATTTCATTGTTTTTGTTGTTTTATTTCATTTCCAACTATAATTCAACTATTTTGACCCAAAAATAAACACCTAAGCTATAAACAAGACCAAATAACCAATGTTTTATCTCTTTATTTGAAAAATTAGATTTCCATAAGTTTTGTGCACAAATCACAAAAATGAGCGATTTTCGGGCTGACATGCAAAGACAAAAGGACACGTGACTTTGTAATGGTACATGTAGGTCCAATTTTCGAAAAATTTCTTTCAAAAGATGCGCAAGACTCGTAAGAAAATAGTCACAAAATTTCAGTGCAAGATTTTCTTGCATTAAAAAAATTATTATTAACTAAAATTCTGAACAGGTTTTGGAACACAACAGTTACAGAGGTCTGATCTCTGTTGACGTAAGACTTTGTTGGCACATATTATGCAATTCTAATTTGTAATGACACACAACTTACCCGAAACATAGCAACATTTTTCAGAATACCTCTAAAACCCACACCAGACTATGTACGATCTGCTTGCGGTCTGATTTTTCAAGATTTGCGTTAGCATTTGATATGAACATTCTAACTAATAAAAAATCTGAATGATCTAGGTTCTGAACAGTTATGTGAATATAAAATCAAAATTACAGGGGATTTCAAGCTTCTACGATTTAAATTTGATTTCGCCTTCATTCGGACTAAAAAGCTTTAATCCACCACAATTCTTTTTGTTAGAATCTCATTTTAAAACATCATATTTTTTGTTAGTATAAATTTTGATAACTAATGTTATGATGATGTGTTTGAAAATCTGATCACAGTGTTATAGTGTGCGGTGGGCTTAAGGTCTTTAGATATCTATACTCACTCCAAACAGGTCAAAGTCATCATCATCATCATCTTCATCATCGTCGTCGTCGGCTTTGGCTTTGCCATTCTGGACTGGTTTGGCCTGTGAAAAAAATAAGCGAACGGTCAACTGATACTCAAAGGCATATCCTTGCGGGGGTGGGGGAGGGGGGGGGGGGGGTGGTGGGATAATTCTGAAAAAAAGTTAACATCAGGGATTCAAAACAAAGTAAATTTGCACATTGTAAGGAGTACGAGATGATATCCCTAGTCCCTAGTGGCCATGGTCCTGTAATGAATCTAAAACTGTCACTGATTTTCGAACTCAAGGGCAGGGCTCCACACTAACTTTTTTATTGGGGTCTGGACTTGAATCTTGGGCACCTATGTGTTCCGGGCACCTGTTAGTTTTCAGCTCTGTCTTAGGTTTAGTGTTTGGTCCCAAGACAAAGTTACTGACCTGGGCCGCGTCTTATAAAGAGTTGATACTAATTGCAACTTATTTGCGATTGATATCTATCGCAACTATGTACAAAAGAGATAGAAGACTGCAAACTTGTGATTGATTGGAGGACTTGCTATTGATTTGGATCAATGGTAACTCTTTATGAAGGAATAACAAATATTTTCCATTTTAGTATTTCAAAAATGAAATTAAAACCTCATTTTCAGCATCCCTCCAAATTTTTACCAGTACTGGAGTTTATTTTTAAGTTATGAAATTGTAAATAATAAACTCTTTATGCAGTATAGCTCCCTCTCAAGGTCAAGATATTAATTGAGCCACAAAACAATGTTTCTTCACTAAAATCGACCGATTAGCTTTTCCCGTTTGGAAATTCGATATCACAACTACACATCTGAGATTTTCATAGTCGCAGCTACCATTGTACGGCCGTAGGCGCTATTTGAAATTTATCAAAAATTTACTGGGAGCACCGGTAAATTTTTATATTAAATTTTTCTCGAAAGCAGAAGTGTTTTAGGGTCTAAATTTTCTAGTGCTTATGAAACATCCACAGAGGCATTCAAATGTATCAAAATTGTAAAGAATCACTATCCACCCCATTTTCAAAATTTCCCAAAACTTTGTATTACCTTTAAAGGAAACCAAAACCTTTATACTAAGTTACTTTTATTGTAAAGTTTAAGATATTTGAAAAATATCAGTGAAAATTTGAACAAAATCGGGCAAGGAATAAGGAAGTAAGAGCTTTTTTAAATTACTAGTCACTAGAGAGCGGTATTCAATTTGATGACATCATCTCTGAACAACTCTCCATGCCTTTTGTACATAAAATTTCACAATTTTTTTGTTTTCTTCATATTTATTTGTGTTCTTGATCCGACTTCATAACATGTGAAGTAGAATATCATTTTGCATTCTATATCTTGCTTTCAGGGGAGTACATTATCTCAATCACAAGAAAGAAGGAAAAACATGAAATTTGATGTACAAAAGGCATGGAAAGTTGTTTACAGATGATGTCATCAAATTGAATACTGCCCTCTAGTGACTAGTAATTTAAAAAAGCTCTTACTTCCTTAATCCTAGCCCGATTTTGTTCAAAGTTTCACTGATATTTTTCAAACATCTTAAACTTTACAATAAAAGTAACTTAGTATGAAGGTTTTGGTTTCCTTTAAGAATGCAGTCCGTTAAGCGACTATAGCATATGTCATAACCACTCAAACGGGAGCACAAACAGGGGGGCGTTTCACAAAACTTGTCATCAGTGACAAATGACAGTTCTTGTTATAAGCTACTGAAATCCTTGCTTCTGATTGGTCATCAGCAGATTTGTCACTGATTTTTGTCATTTGTGATTGATAAAAGGCTTTGTGAAACGGGTCCCAGGACATACCGTTGCTGGTTTGGATGCAGCCGATGTAGAGGATGTGTCTAAGGCACTCAGACGCTCCGTCAGCTTGGCAACAGCAGCTTGAAGATCGGTTGTGACTGTGTGAGGAAAAAGTACATTATTTGACGTATGCTATACAGGACGAGGGAATGGTACTGTAGGAAAAAACGTTCACAAATCGTAAAAGACACTGCTAACCTCTTTTGCATCAAGAAACTGCCTAAATTAGTATAGTGTGAGTTGTGACTCAATTGTTTGGCTGAATACAAATTTTATAAACCAGTGCCAATTGTGAAATTTGAATGTTTCACAAAGTACAAAGTTTCTAGTTTTATAGGTTCTGGGATACCTGGGACCCGTTTCACAAAGCCTTTTTTCAATGACAAATGACAAATCTGCTTATCGCAAACACTGTCATTTGTCACTGATTAAAAGTTTTGTGAAATGGGGCCTGATCATTCCATCAAGACGGCAGCCCTACAGGAGCTTGGATCAGACCAAATGCCACTTCCAATCTTGATTATTAATTTGTCTTTATTCATAGTAACTTCTGGGACAGCAAATGGCCAAATGGCTAGATTTTGTCCATTACTCACTTTTTTTAAGGTCTGCATTCTCCTTCTCTACTGCAGACAAACGAGCCAAGATCTCTGGGTTGTCTACACCTACGCCAACACTAAGACCAACTCCCTGTAGATAGCGGATAATCACGGCCAGAGAGAGAGAGAGAGAGACAGACAGAGAGGGGAAGGGGGATGGAGGAAGAGAGAGAGAGAGGAGGGGGGAAAAGAAAAGGAGAGGGGAAGGGGGATGAAGGAAGAGAGAGAGAGAGAGAGAGGGGGACAGAGAGAGGAGGGAAAGGGTGCGGAGAGAGACAGACAGATACAGAGGGAGGGAGGGAGAGAGAGAGAGAGAGAGGGGGGGGGGGGGGGGGGGGGGAGGAGGAAAAAGCCAGAGAATGAAAAAAAAGTTTTAAAATGGGAAATGGAATATAACACAATCATATTCAATGTCAAATGTACTACTGAATGGACTAAGCACAGGACAGAAATGCTATTGAGATAAGGATAAAGACAGCAACGGACAGGGACAGATTTATGAAGGAAAACAAAATTACTACATAATGAGATGTTAACTACAGGAGACAGGGACATAGGATGTTCAAAGGAAATGTACAAGGAAGAAATAAATATATTTAGAGGGACATATTGAAACAAAGAGAAATATAAAGAGGCAAGATGTAGTAAGATAACAAGATACTAGTACTCAGACAGGTAGAGGAGCCTTAACAATGTGAGTCTCAAACAAATTGCATAATTTGAACAAAATGAGAAATTAATGAATTAATTAATGAATTTATGCAGAATATGCTTGAATTGTCAAAATGTCATAGACTACTAAAAAATACGCAAACTCAGAGCATCTTTACATTCAAGCTTTAGCTAGGAAAAAATGAAGATATGTACGTTTCAGTACAAACAAGTATAAACTAGACAAACAAATAATATTGGAAATACCAGTAAGCAATATCAATCAAACTTTTACAAGTTAGCCCTGCCTAATTCTGACTTGTCAAATAACAATTTATAAACACAAGAATGTATTACAAGTAAACAACATCAAAGAAATGAAATATACTACTACATATGTCCCAGACAGTATGAATGCCAGAAAATAAATGTATCCCTTAAAGTACAATTAGAAAGTTTACATGTCAACAAAATGTTCAAACCTACCCCCAAAACCTAAACATGATGAATAATCACCCAAACCATATTCCCAAATTAAATCTATGGTCAATAAAGCAAGATCACATGCAAATTGATTTGATTACTTCCATGCATTGTGATTAGTAAGCCATTTTATAATTAAAATAGTTAGTTTCATACAAGTTTAACATTTACATAGAAGGAAAAGGATGAGTTAGGAAGAGAGAGTCGCACTAGACATCGTTTACAACAATTTTTTCAGAAGTCAACACAAAAACAAAGGACAGTTCGGACAATTAAGACGTAGATGAAGGCAAGATATCTACATGCTCACGAGGGTGGTAACTGGTAAGGAGCTTTTACAATCAATTCTTTTTAAAATTTTGATTTAAAAAAAAATCTAGATTGCCACACATTCACAATGAGATACCCGCTGACTGCACAAAATTCATTAACATTCATATGCATCGTAGAATCTTTGGTTGTTAAAAGCTTTGATAATTTTGTGTTTGTGAAGTGATATGATTAATGCTTTTTTTATTTCTTTTTTGGATGTGGGGTTGTCTACTTGCATTAAATTACAATCTTTTCAACTCTAAACAACTAGAATTTATATTTAAAAGTTGTAAATTGGAAATTGACTATGATAGACGATATAAGCCAATGGATAGAGTTGGAACGACCAGAGATGGATTTACAATAAAATGTCTTTGATTCTAAATTTTAGGTAATGAATGAAAGAATATTATTAACAGCTGCATTTTCAAAGATGCATAAGGAAACTAGAAGATATGGAAATGTATAGTCTAAACCCGTCCACCAAAGTAATTTATACACGGTACTGATCTGTAGAATTCCAGTCAAACTTTTACAGAGTAGCTTCCAAATCCAACTTAATTGAAGAAATTGTGCTCCTTTGACAAAATGTATATCCTCATTAAATGCCAAATGTTATCCTCTTGTACGTAACCATCAATAACCTACTGTAATTAACGGTGTATTAATCGCACTTTTTTGCTGCCGAAAAAATATTCAAAGTAGGGGGTGCGTCTTATACACGGTTTACACACAAACCAAAACAATTTTTTTTTTTTTTTTTTTTTTTTTTTTAAAGTTTCGATTTATGCCCCTCCACCTGGCGCTTTGCCTGGCAATGTCTCCCAGCTCGGTAATCGGTGTGTTAACTCACCACTCGGAAACTAGAACAACACTCAAATTTGTCTGTCATCTTGGTTTGAAAGTAATCTTTCTGATAGAATATAGAATAGAATATTTTATAATAATAATTCCTCCAATTTTTCTTCTATTACATGGCGTACCACAAGGTCCTCTACTGTTTTTTAATTTACATTAATGATCTTACACATTCAGCTGCACCTCGCAGTTAAATAAAAGGCCTTCCCGCGTGGGTTTTAAACACGGACCTGGCTTGCTACCGACAGAGTCAGCAAAAAAGAGGGGAGTGGTTAATACACGAGGGCAGTTTATACACCGTTAATTACGGTACACATAAGTTATGTAAAATCATAGATTAATGAATATATTATTGTTAGCAGAAAATGCAGTCATGCAGTGTGTGAGCTACTCACAGCACTCAATGAGGTTTGAATGTTCTGACGTGCGCGTGCAATTTCGCTGACCAGATTGCTGGCCGGACCATCCGATTTCTGTGAGTGAAAAAAAAAAGCACAAACGAAAGAGAAAGAAATGAGAAAGAAGAAAGTAAACATAAATGTGTGAAAAATGAGAACAGGGCCCATTTCACAAAACTTGTCATCAGTGACAAATGACAGTTTGTGTTATAAGCTAGTGAAATCCTTGCTTCTGATTGGTTATCGGCAGATTTGTCACTGATTTTTGTCATTTGTCATTGAAAAAAGGCTTTGTGAAACGTGACCCAGACGCCACACATAGTAGCAGCTAGCAGGCATCATGTATATACATGTACATCTATTGAACAAGTTTTTATCAGAACTTGAATTTTACAATGATATTCAAAAATCAATCTATCAAATGTAATCCTTTACCATATTGAAGTGATATTGTACATCCTTTCTTCATTTTACAAGCTGCGAATTTTCCATAAGAAACAATTTAGATTGATAAATCAATTAAAGAAGGCATTATTCAGAGTTTAAACAGAGCTTTTCAGGAGAAAGGTGATTTCTACATAATATATGTTGAAATTATACTATTTTTTCCTGACTTCTGGGCACAATCATTTCAGAATATTAAAAAGCAACCCAGTCTGCCTGTGGAATAGCATTACTGCACATGTTAAGGGCCTTTTAAAAATTCAAATGACCTGGTACAGAACTGTTAATCGACGCCCTGCTCAAGTTTACACTGTTTTCTGTTGTACGAGGAGAAATGTAGAAATAAACAGTGGATCCAGTGATATCACAGTATCACCTTGCCACCATGACGATGTCGTTTTCTTTATTTCCATATTTTTTTTTAAACTTGACCAAATCTTTACACTCAGGATTTAAATGTATTCTAATTTCAAAAGTAATACTAATAGCGGATTATTGTATAACGCTAATGTCTATCAAATTTGACATTCCTGTCTTAATAAAAAACTTTTTACAAGTTATTTTTATATCAAAGGTACAGATAAAAAGGGAAGCAAGAGTTTCAATGAGATATCAAGAACTAAATGAGTGTTCATACACTGCACTACTGTACTGTTAGTAAGAAGTGTAATATAAATGTTAGTAATTAAAACTAGATTGTCAAGCGTGTCAAAAGCGGGGGGAAATTATGATGTTAGTTACTAGGAAGCATTCACACAAATTAGCACAAACATTAGTTAGATTGGATTAACTTTAAAACCTGAACAAACCCTCACGAAACATTATATTCAACTTGAAGAAAACAAAAGGTCAATTAGAAGTGTAATAAGCACATCACATGAGGGATGATTTCTTTGTAAGGAATCAGAACCTTCTCAAAAATAGTTTACTGGAAATTTCTGGAATGCTAAATAATTTTCATATTTGATGCACGTAAATGCTTATATTCACAAAGGAGGAACAAACTTTAACCATGGTTCATGTTAGACGTGTACCAATCATCTAAACATGGTTTGCTTTAATAATCTAAGGGGTTTCATGGTGCTAAACAGTGATCAAACTGTGCATTTTAAATTTCTTCTACAAAAGAGATACTGCCGTTTAAATACACTACCAGGTATACTGTAAAACGCCTTGTTGGGTAGCCAACTAACGCACGTGTACCGTCTCGCATAGAATAGGGCGCACAAGTTTGACTTCGGTTCTATAACCGCCTTGTACGCAGGGTTTTATGACCTCTTTTCTTTTCTTTATACTCCTTAACCGTTTGCATTAAGGAATGCAAGGCAAAATTTTAAAGGCTGATTTTAAACATTCAACCTATACAAAAACTATCTTTTGTTCAGATGATTTGTACACTGAAATTAAAACCCCCACAGTGTATTAAAAAAGGTTTTGATTTAAAAAAAGGGTCCCATTCATTGGACACAAGGTCATGCATATTCCATTGTTTAATATGGACATTCAATTCTAAGGTTGAGATTATGAAACTCCATGAATGTGATTGAGGGCCAAAGGCTTTGTACAGTACAACAAACATGAAATATAACAGGATCATGTTATCATAATATTCATATTTTGGACAACCTCTTTTTCACTAAAAATCTTCCGGTATGGATTTGACTGGACATTTGACAGGACAGAACAAATCTACTGTGTGACTTTGTATTATGAATAATGGTAGATTTCATGCTGACTATATTATTACTTACCGGTGTATTTGAAATGGAGTTGTACAATAGTCCATTTTCGTAACGTAACCAAATTTAATGCATTTAAGTCTTTGTGAAGACAGAATCCGAACTGCATACATTAATAGTTACCTAGCAACACTTAATATATGTAGTTTACATTCTGACTATTGAAATACTATTATTCTTATCAGGTAAATGAAAAAAATTGTATTAAGGCACTTCACGAAGACTTATGCATTAAATTTGGTTACATTACGAAAATGGCCTATTGCATCATATTTGGAATTAACAATTTGTTCCCCCTTTAGATTAAAAATAATGGTAAACAGATAGGAGGGGGGGGGGTCGAAGGGGTTACCAATGCTGTTCATGATTGTTTTTAAATTTCAGGTCAAATATTACTACAGTCTAAGAGAAGCTAAACCAATCTCTCCAGAAAACAATCTAGGTGACTATGTGCAGAGTCCATTCCTCTCCAGTTTACCTGTACAACGAGTCCACTGTGTTTGGAAGCCACCTGTTCCTGATACTTGGTCTCTGCCTCCTGGAACTTGTTCCTCTCGTACCAGACGTTCTCTTTCATCAAAGGATGAGCCATGGCTTAGGATTAATGCTGGGTGTTCTTAGGCAGGATGGTCTGGAACAATAACTGATCTGATCACCAAAAGAGACAATTTTTGCATTAGTTGGTTTGAACCAACCCTGTAACCGATCATTGACCAATCAGGTGAAATCGGATAATAAATTCTTATCGCCGATCAATAAAAATGATCCCAAAAAAAATTGGGTTTTTTTTTTTTTTAAATGCTGAAAATTATAATTACCGGTACTAACACTAAATTACTAGATCTAGGCCTAGGCCTACTTTATTTAGCTTTTCCCCCAAATAGAACCAAACCTGCTCTTTGAATCATTTTCCGATTTAGTTTAATGAGTTTAATAACCATCAACATGATCACTGCATAGCCATCCTCACTCTATTTTAGGCCAGGTCAGGCCAGGTGTTCGTCTTACCCGGACGGGCCCGACCCAAGTCCCAAAGCGATGACCTGATGATTCAATGAGTCTGGGCTAACTCGGCCGCGCTGCAAAAAACTGTCATTTTTTGCCATTTTAGCCTAACCTGCAAAAACTGGAACGAGTTGTCTCCGGTTTGAGTTAGCCAGACTCTGATTCGATGTGCTAGCACAGAGAACTTTAGCTTACAATTAGCGCATGCGCAGATCATTCATCCGATCTCAGCCTCATTTTCATAAGTTGGCGCCTAGCCTAGCCGACATGGGCCCTTCAGATTGGCTATCGCTGTTCTCCATCGACTCAATGCTATAAGATATTTGTGTGTGGGGAGCAAGCTTGCGATTTTCTGTTTTTTTTAAATACCAAAATTATGATATTTTAGTCAAACCCTCTATTTGTTATGATGTTTTTTCATTTAGGTATTTCACTTAAGTATTTCACTCAAGTTTAAGTTTTACTTAAAGGTAATACAAAGTTCAGGGAAATTTTGAAAATTGGGTGAATAGTGAATCTTTACAATTTTGATATATTTGGATGCCCCTGTGGATGTATTATAAGCACTAAAAAAATTAGCCCCTAAAACACTTCTGTTTTCGAGAGAAATTAAATATAAAAATTTACCGGTGCACCCGGTAAATTTTGATAAATTTCAAATAGCGCCTATGGCTGTACAATGGTAGCTGCGACCATGAAAATCTCAGAATATGTAGTTGGGATATATAATTTTTAAACGGGAATAGCTAATCGGTCGATTTTAGTCAAGAAAAATTGTTTCATAGCTCAATTAATATCTTGACCTTGAGAGGGAGCTATACAACGTAAAAGAGTTCATTATTTATAATTCCATAACTTTAGACTCGATTTCAACCGCGACAACGATCAATGTATATTGTGGGAACGCATATGCTTCCAATATGTTCATTTGAACCAAATTCATGACCCATATCAAAACTTTGTAATACCTTTAACTATTTTTTAAGTTACAAACTGGAAATCTATTCTGACTTTCTGAGATGATTGTTAATTTGTCTATTTTATGCGTTTGCAATGCCGTGTGTGCGTCAGTTATGTGTAAAGTGCGTCACCTGTTTAAAGCAGGGCGTGTCAAAATCTCCGGAGCTTCCTGGAGTTAGCAAAGACCCAGAGTGAGAGTTCAGACTCGACCTAGAGTCTAGACGTAAATTAAATAGAGTAAAGGAGGGGGTAATCGACCGTCAACAGTTTTCGGCCCGTCCATTGGATGCATGGAAAAACGGCCACCCATACTAGTCAATGGCACATATCGCGGAGACAGCGTGGCTCAAGCTGCAAGTCGCGCATTGGCTTAGCAACATGCGTACTATATGCATACGCTTGCATATCGCGCGATACAGTCGTATCCACTTCCGTATCCACTTCGTATTCTCTTCCGGGGTTTATGGCGCGAACGGCTATCCATACTTTCATTCACTATACGCGCAGATGTTACGCGATCTAACCATGGTTTAGACTGAGCAGAGCTCACCCCTCCCTAAATTAGCTGATTCCAAAAATGTGGGAAGGGTATTTTCAAACTGTTAGAACAAATGATCCCTTGGGGCTAGCGAAAAAAAAAGCACCTGGATATTATCCTTACGTCTAGCCCTACTTAAGCCGCGGGGGCGCAGCTCAGGAAAGTGGCAAATTGTGGAGCTAGGATGCAAACAACATTTCAATCACTGTTTTGACCAAGATATTTTTAGAATTCTGGGGGTGGCCCCCTATGGGGAATATGGAGAAAACATGCTCTTTCATATGACACCTCATTTATTGAGTTTCACCTTCAGGATCATTTGTTATAAAGGTTTGAATTTCAAATTTTTTCATAAAATCATCGACCAATTTTGCATGGTCGCGCAATGCACGTAGACCACATAGGGATGCATACAATCTCTATGGTAAGGATTTTAGCACACAACATCGGGTGCGCGATCAGACACCCTACTCTTCTTAGTCCAAGTTAAGTGGCCGAAAACCCCCTCCTTTTGTCTCTGGTCAAATTTGACTCGACGCCAAAAATACAACCAACAACAACATTCACATTGTCCACAAAGTAGCATTCAAACACACACAATTTTCGACTTCGCCATCCTGTGCAATCATGTTCCATGATTCCGGTTTTCAACTTTATAACTTAGTGAAGTCTAGATATATTCACACGTACATAACTACGCGTTGTGACCTACGTACACTCGCGTACGTACTCGATACCATGCACACACAATATCAATGACCTGTCACTAGACAATCACGAATCACACCAATGAAAGCCCATTAAAAGTCCCATTCCCTAACGAAAAGAACCAAAAAGATAAGTAAGAAGTTGCAAACATTAACTTCATAATGTTAATTTGGGATTTTTACGTCAACTAGGAACATTCATAATAGAAAATAAATATTAATTTATAAAAAAAAAATTAGAGAAATTTACCGGAGCCGCGCCTACGTTGATCACACGTGTAAGTTAAAAGGCTGAAGACAGTAGATATATTATTTCCAAAAATTCTTTATCTATGGTATCGCTTCTTGAAAAACCAAAATGGTAAACGGAAATGACAAAAAGTGTCCACTTGAACAGATTCAAAAGGGCCGAGGGCCGGGTTTTTTTTTTTTTTTTTTTTTTTTGGGGGGGGGGGGGGGGTGTACTCAGACTCAGAATTGGTTTAATAGGGGATATGCGGCTAATGCCTCAAAAAATCCATACCTATTTTAAAGATAAAGACCAGTTAGGGAAACGTGGAATCGATCAGAAAAGGTTGATCATCTAACATATAATTGGTGTGTATCATGCAGGCGCGGATCCAGGATTTCTTAGGGGTTGGAGCCCAAATTTGAAATTTAGTGAGCTGAAATTTGACAATCGTGCCGGCCAATATTTGCTTAGTGGGGGGGGGGGGGGGGGAAGGGGGTAGTGAGTTAAATTGTTGTTGTTTTTGGCCCTCGAAAATTTGAAAAATCGCACCCCCCCCCCCCCCCCCCCCCCCCCCCCCCACTTGAAATTATCGTCGGATGAGCATAATTTCATACCTTATTTGCGACACTAGCAGGACACAAATTGGTGTTGGGTCCAGGGGGAGGAGCCCCCAGAAGTTCAGGGGTTTTATACATTAGATTATCGTCAGATGTGCATATTTTATACCTAATTTGTGACACTGGTACGGTCACGAATTGGTGTAGGGTCCAGGGGGCGGAGTACCTGTAAGCTCAGGGGTTTTGTGTAATAAATAATTTTTCTATCTCTCTATCATTATTTCCTTCAATTCATCTCAGTGGCTCCATACGTATACGTGTATTATTTCTCACTCTCCTCACCGCCTGCATTTGTATTTTTTTCTTTTTCTTTCTTTCTTCTTTCGGTTTATCCACTTTTCTTTCTCGCTGTGTGTCTTTCTTTCTTTGCCCTTTGCACTCACATTTGTCTCTCTCTGTTTTTTCCACCTCTCTTTATCTACCTGTCTTTATGTCTGTCTCTATTATCTCCTTTTTTTTTAAATCATTATTTTTGCTTATTTATATTAGGCTTCCTTTCACATTTGCTTCAATATCCCTTGCAAGTTATGGCTTCTTCTCTATACTCTCTCTTTCTTTCTACCTTCTTCTTTTTCCTCTCTTGCCCCCCCCCCAGCCCAACCACTCCCTCTCTCTCTCTCTCTCTCAATCCTCATCTCTCACCCTCTCCACGCTCTTCTCTCTCTCTCTCTCTCTCTCTCTCCCTCTCTCTCTCTCTCATTTTCTCTCACACACTCACCCTTTCTCATTTATTTGTCTATCCTTGTCTATTCTTCTGTTTCTTTATCTCTTGCTTGTCTTTCTTCATCACCATCTTTCGCCCTCTCCATGCTCTCTCTCTTTTCTTTCTCTCTCTCTCTGCCTTTCTTTCTCTCTCTCTCTCTCTCTCTCTTTCTCTCACTCTCTCTCTCTCTCTTTCCCCTTCCCTCTCTCGCCTCCTTCTCTTTAGCTCTTTCCCTTCTCTCTCTCTTTCTCTTTCTCTCTATGTCTCTGTCTCTCTCTGTCTCTCTCTCACTCCCCTTTCCTCACTCTCTCTTTTCCCTTCTCTCTCTCTCTCTCTCTCTCTCTCTCTCTCTAGCTTTTTCCCCTTCTCTGTCTCTCCCTCTCTCTCTCTCTCTCTCTCTGTCTCTGTCTCTCTCTCTCTCCACATTTTTATGATTTTGTAATTAATATTTCACTCTGTATTTGTTCTCCTCTACGGAATGACTCCTAATCATCCAAGGGGTTTGATGCTAACCACCTGGAAAACGAAAATTTATGTTTTTACCCTTTTCAAGATTGCCCCATTGATTATTCCGTATCCAATATTCATATCTGTCATGCAGGTCAAAATGTCGGAGGCATATATGTATATACACAAACTGGAGGTACCAAATGGACTTATAATGAAGTAATTGTTTTATAAAATAATGTAGCACCTTAATAATTCATTTGAATCCATTATTGATATGGTAGCATAGGAATATAATTTTGTAAACCTCAGTATTGATATTTTTTTATTTTTTATTATTATTATTATTATTATTATCTATTTATTTATTTTTTATTTTTTATTTATTTATTAATATTATTATTATTTTTTTTTTTTTTTTTTTTTTTTGGGGGGGGGGGGGGGGTGGGGGGGAATCTCATTTAGATATCAATATCGTC